CAGTTGGGGAAGATGAAAAATTTCTGGAGATAAATGGTGGTGATAGATATTGTGAACGTATGTACTACCACTGAACCATATACTTAAAATGACTAAAATGATACATTTTATGTTTTGTATATTTTATCACTATACATACATATTTTTTAAAAAAGGTTTCAGGCTTCCCTGGTGGCACAGTGGTTAAGAATCCGCCTGCCAATGCAGGGGACACAGGTTCGAGCCCTGGTCCGGGAAGATCCCACATGCCACGGAGCAACTAAGCCCGTGTGCCACAACTACTGAGCCTGTGCTCTGGAGCCCGCGAGCCACAAATACTGAGCCCGCGTGTCACAACTACTGAAGCCCGTGCGCCTAGAGCCCGTGTTCCACAACAAGAGAAACCACCATGATGAAAAGCCCGCGCACCGCAACGAAGAGTAGACCCCACTCGCTGCAACTAGAGAAAGCCTGAGCTCAGCAACGTAGACCCATCGCAGCCAAAAATAAATATTTTAAAAATAAAATAAAAAATTAAAAAAAGGTTTCCATGCTGCCAGTAGGAAAGCTAGCAAACAAACCTCTTCTCCATCTTGAGGGACTTAGTCTCATCATCTTTAATAAGCGGAGCTGACTAGAGGCTTCTGGGTCTGCGGTCTGACGTTTCCATGGTAACCACAACAAGCAGATGCCTGGCGAGCAGGATTTCACCATCAAAGCAACAGGGTTCACCTTACTGGTCTCCCTCCCATCCGCTCCATTCTCTAAATTGCTACACAGAGAGCTAAAAATCTGTCGGATGTGCCTCTCTCCCTCTCACGCCATCACTCAGGTGCTCTGAAGCTCAGTTATTCCAGCATGCCATGCTGGAGTTTATTCCCACATGCTCTTCTCTCCATTCTAGAACACCTTGTCCTTCTCATGCCCCACTCCCCCAGCATGTTCCTTTACTAGCTCTTCCCTCTCTTTCCAATTCTTCAGGGCTCAGCTGCCATGTCCCTTCCTCCAGGAAGCCTCCCTCTCCTAACTGCCCGGATGGCATTACATCCTCTGTTACATGTTCCCATGGCACTCTGCCTCCTCCCAGGGGAAGACATTCATGGAACAAACCACAGTGAGGGTGAGGGTGAGAAAAGTAGGCAGTAAGAGAGGGGAGAGTCATCCCAGATGCCTTTTATTAAAATTAGAGAGAAGCCTGTGAGCATTAGGGACTTTGGACTCAGAACCCATCAGACCGGAAACCCCAGATCTCCTTCTCAGAAGTTGTGTGACCGTAACCAAGTTACTTAACTGCTTCAAGTCTGTTTCCTCTTCTGCAAAGCTGAGATAAAATTTCCGAACTCTCCGGGCTGTTGAAAAGTTGAAGGGAAGTGGCATATCTCAGCAGCTCTAGTCTGGGGTCATTCCCCGCCAGTCAAACGTCCTCAGCCCTCCTTACCTAATACCTGATTTCCTGCCTGCACTCTGCTTCCTCCCCAGCTCAATTCCCAGACTGCAGCCAGAGCATCTTTCTAAACTGCACAAGCGATAACCCTCTGCTTGCCTGGAGTCATTCTCCATTGACTCCAGGAGAAAATCTACACTCATAGTTGGTCCCCTGCTGTGCTCTCTGGCCTCATATTTCTCTACTGCCCCCTACGGCCTGAGTTCTAGCCACACGGAGTTTCAGCTCAGGCTCTCTCCTGCCTGTGGGTCATCGCACCCATTTCTTCCTCCATGTGAAACACCATCCGCAATCCCACGCTTTGCCTGACGACACTTACTTGTCCTCAGGTCACTTCTGTGAAGCCCCACCTGGCCTCTGCCACTTGCACGCACAGCCCCATAGAACTCTATGATTTTCATCGTCCTGCCCGTTATTGCATTTTTTGTGTGCATTACAATTTTTTTTAAACTGGCTTTACCAGTTTCATTAATGTATAATTGACATACAATAAACTGCATACATTTAAGTATACAATTTGATTAGCTCTGACATGTACACACCCGTGAAAGAATCACCACACTCAAGAGAATAAATGTAGGGACTTCCCTGGTGGTCCAGTGGTAAAGAATACGCCTTACAATGCAGGGGATGCAGGTTCAATCCCTGGTCAGGGAACTAAGGTCCCACACGCCACGGGGCAACTAAACCTGTGCGCCACGACGACTGAGCTTGCGCGCCTCAACTAGAGAGTCTGCTTGCCATGAACTACAGAGGCTTCGTGCCCCGGAGCCTGTGCACCACAACTAGAGAAGAGAAAACTCGCGCACCACAACTAGAGAGAAGCAATGAAGAGCATGCACGCCTCAGTGAAGATCCCGTGTGCCGCAACTAAGACCCAATGCAGCCAAAAAATAAATAAATAAATCTTTTAAAAAATGATAATAAATTTATCTATCAGCCCCTCAACTTTCTTTGTTGTCCTCTGATAATCTCTTCCTCCTGCCCTCTCCAACCCTTCTCTCATTTTCAGGCAACCACCGATTGGCTCTGTCACCATATATTAGTTAGCATTTTCTAGAATTTTATATAAATGTAATCATATACTATATGATCTCTTTTCCCTGGCTTTTTTTACCCGGTGTAATTATTTTGAGATTCATCCATGTAACACCAGTAGTACGTCCTTTTTTTATTGTTGAGTAGTATTCTACTGTATGCATATAATACAGTCTGTTTATCCGTTTATCTGCTGATGGACATTTGTGTTGTTTCCTGTCTGTATGAGTGTATGCTTTCATTTCTCCTGGGTAAATATGTAGAAGTGCAATGGCTGTATCATATGGCAGAATATGTTCCACTTTTTTAACAAACTGTCAAACTGTTTTCCAAAAGGGGTTGTACCATTTTACATTCTCACCAGTAAAGTATGAGAGTTCCAATCGCTCTACATTCTTGTCAATACTTGGTATGGTCAATCTTTTTAATTCTAGCCATTGGAATAGGTGTATGATGGTATCTCTTATTGTGGTTTTAAGTTGCATTTTCCTAATGATTAATGATGCTGAGCATCTTTTCACGTGCTTATTTGCCATCCACACATCTTGTTTGGTGAAGTCTCCAAGAAATTTTAAAAGAAAACAAATTGTAAAAACTAAACCTGTTAGGGAAATCTTTTCATGAACGTAATTTCTACTCTTTACTCCACTATTTAAAGTGGAATATCTATAATTTTTCACATTTAAAAGTTGTGGTAGGGCTTCCCTCGTGGGGCAGTGGTTGAGAGTCCGCCTGCCGATGCAGGGGACACGGGTTTGTGCCCCGGTCTGGGAGGATCCCACGTGCCGTGGAGCGGCTGGGCCCGTGAGCCATGGCCGCTGAGCCTGCGCGTCCGGAGCCTGTGCTCCGCAACGGGAGAGGCCACAACAGTGAGAGGCCCGCGTACCGCAAAAAAAGAAATTGTGGTAAAATATACACAACATAAAATTTACCACTTTAACTGTTTTTAAGTGTACAGTTCAGTGGCATTAAGTACATTCGCATTGTTGTGCAACCATCACCACCAACCGTCTCCAGAACCTTTTTCATCTTCCCAAATTGAAACTCCCTACCCATTGAAAACTAACTCCTCGTTTCTCCCCACTCCTCCCAGCCCCTGGCAACCAACATTCTGCTTTCTGTCTCTATGAACTTGACTACCCTGGGCACCTCAAATGAATCAGACAACACATGTCCTTTTGTGACTGACTGACTTCACTTAGCATAACGTCTTCAAGTTCATCCATGTTGTAGACGTGACAGCATTTCTCCCTTTTTAAGGCTGAATAATATTCTTTTGTATGTATATACCACATTTGGTTTATCCATTCACCCATCAGTGACCACTTGGGTTGCTTCCGCTTTTTGACTATTGTGAATAACGCTGCTATGAACATGGGTATACAGATGTCTGAACCCCTTATTAATTGCATTTTTAATTTTTAAATGTAATTTTAATTAATTGCATTTTAATGGTTGTATACTACATTGCCTACAACAGTGCCTGACACACAGCAAGCATTTAATAAATATATATGAAATTGACAGCTAGACAAGTGAATGCATGAGTGAATCCCAAATTGGACATCAACTCAGACACAGCTGTGTCATTTGTCCTGTGGGTGCCAGTCCCAGTGTCCTAATGTCAGGATGCTGCATCAGTTAAGAAACTGATCTCTTTGGATCCCATCCAAGAAGGGAGGAAAACACTTCCCCTGCTTTAATTTGTCACCCTTGCCTCTGCTTGATGTCCCACGGGAGGCTCAGCTGCCTGAGGTCTCTGGGTTAGTCACAAGATACTCACTCGGGGGGAGGCATAGCTGAGGCTATTCTTTCCTCTGAGACATCTGAGGAACTACTCACTACATTCTGTCCCATGGAATAATAATAACATTAAAAGCTAACATTTTTGTGTGCTTACCCTGGGCCGGTGCTTTAGAAGCATTAACTCATTTCATTGTTAAGTAACCCTGAATTAGGCACTGTAAGACTCCTCACTTCACAAAACAAAAAGCAAAAGCACAGACAAGTTCATTAACTTGCCCATGGTCACCCAGCTAGTAAATGGCAGAGCCAGAGTTTGAATCCAGGCACTCTTGACTCCAGAACCTACCAGGCAGAAGAAAAAGGCACAACCAACCACTCAGGCTGAGAGCAGTTTTCATTTAGTTACGTTGAAGTTAAGCAGAGTCCCTCTAAAATGTTTCTGTCTAAGCCTGAATAATATTTATCAAATACATTTTGGAAAACACATTAAAAAATGTTAAGTCAGGGCTTCCCTGGTGGCGCAGTGGCTGGGAGTCCGCCTGCTGATGCAGGGGACACGGGTTCGTGCCCCGGTCCGGGAAGATTCCACATGCCGCAGAGCGGCTGGGCCCGTGAGCCATGGCCGCTGAGCCTGCGCGTCCGGAGCCTGTGCTCCGCAACGGGAGAGGCCACAACAGTGAGAGGCCCGCGTACCGCAAAAAAAAAAAAAAGTTAAGTCAAATAATCCCACCAAAAAGATAACCACTCAACATATTGGATGTTTCCTCCCCATTTCTTCTCCTTACTTACATACTTGAATTTAGCTGATATGATGAGTGTCTTCATTCTCTTAAGAAAGAGGCAACAGTCCCCCCGTCTTGATACATCTGCCATTGGCACCCATTCCTCCTGCTTAATTCTCTTCTATAGGTCTCCATTGTATTCCTGCCAAATGATGCAAAACAAGGGGGACGTTAATTTGTAGTAATAATGATGGCCTTTGACACTGAGTGCTGGCAAGCTCTGTGCTGAGGAAGCACTTCTGTATGTTATCTCATGTAGTTCTCACCGTAGCAGAACTGTATTAGATGGGCACATTAAGTTCATTTTAGTGATGAGGAATCTGAGACTAAAAATTTAGCATGTGCCTCTTCCTCTTACCTTTTCATTCCTGAATAACTTGGTCCTAAAGCCATTGGGTGAAGCCTAGAAAAACAGGTGTCCACATGGGGGTTGGAGGGGTTTAGACTGGGATGTCGGGCCTCCACTTCACCCCAAGCAGGTGGAAAGGACATCTGCATGAGGCTAGAAGGGCAGCTAAGTTTGATACTGAGCAAGACCCTGTGGGGCTCCTGGGCACAAAAGCCTTTCTTGTCCCCCATTTCTTTGATTACAGGCATTTGCTTCACTCAGCCTCCATGACTTTCCCTGAGTTCCAATAGGCAGGTTCAAACAGTTGTTGATCAGGGAAGGGAGGGGTTGGGAGACACGGGAGGAACAGTCAAGAGAAACAATAGTGCAGCCTCGGGGCAGGGTCCTGGTTCCCCATCAAGGAATACACATAACAATATCTTTGAGCTGTTTTGCAGATACTGAAACCCCAACTAAGTGGAGAAGTTAACGGTTGACAATGGTATGCTGCCCACAAGCATGTAGACCCCAGACCCGGTTGGAACCAGAAGGTTGATGATGCCGACTCCCACTTACCTCCCCACCAACCAGTCAGAAGATTGTCCATGAGCTGATCACGCCCTCTTTGAACCATTACTATAAGTCTCCTCACTACCCCCTCCAGGTCAGGACACATGGTTTTGAGGGCATTAGCCCACTGTGGCCCCCTTTGCCTGACAAAGCAATAAAGCTATTCTTTTCTACTTCACCCAAAACTCCGAGATTCAATTTGGTGTTGGGGTACAGAGGCTGGATTTGGCTTCAGGTTCAGGGGGTGGCAGTGTGAGGTCCCAGACACTGAGGAGGGTGGGAGAACCCACGGGGGTATTAAGGAGTGCCCCAGTGTGGGACGTTAAAACCCAAGCATGTGGAGGACAGAGTCCAAGCAGGAAGGAGGGGGTGTGGCACAGAGTATCAGATCCTGAAAAGGGTGAGGAAGGCGACTGTGTGTGAGTGAGGTGCTGGAGTTCAAGGGGGTGAGGATGTCATCCATAGAGGGAAGGGGTACCTGTGGCAATGGGAATCAGTTACATAAAAAGGGGGTGATCAGTAAGTAGCCATATTACAGATAATGTAAACCAGATTTCTCCCTGTTGGAGACAAGAGTTACAAATAAAGAAAGGGAGAAAACTAGAATGAATCTTTTGATGCCAGACTGGAACTGGAGGTATTGGTGTGAGCTCATTCTTTTCACCAGTACCTTTCAATATAGAAATAAATATATATGTACAGATGCAAATATACAAATGTATGCTCGTGTATATCCCTAGCTCTGTCCACTGAGAAAGCACGGGAGTTGCAACACTCCAACTGTAACAAGCACACCTACCACCCTAATCTTGGTTTCTAAATCATTCTCTGCTTAAAAGAATTGGTGCTGCTAGGACAAATGGCTCAGAGTACAAAATGTGCCTAGAATATTCTTATACTATTCTTACAAGAAGTAAGGAAATGCTTAAAGGTTGATGGGAACATTTCAAAAGGACATAAATGCAGATATACCTGGTAGCATCTCTGCCACCAGGAAACTCACATTTCAGATAAGGAGCTAAGATTCAGAAACATAAAACAGTGGCAGGCACTCATGATCATATATAAACACGTGCAATGACTCTGAATGCTATTTGAGCTCACAGAAGAAGGCTGGACCTGTCAGGGAAGGACTGGAGATGGAGGTGGGGCTGCACTAAACCCTGAGGATGAGAAGGATTGACTGCAGTGGGAGAGAATATTCTAGGTGTGTGCATGCCCACCTCCTGAGAGCAGGTATAAAGATATAAATGAGCTTGCTGAAGAGAGGGGCAGAGGTAATGCTAAGAAGGACGGTGGGCAGGAGACAATGGCCTGGCCACAATGAAGAGGGGCCGCACTCAGAGTTGCCACTAGGTTTCACTGGGTATTTCAGTGACATCAAGAGCTGACTGCTCAGCCTCCCATTATGTAAATCTCTGCGGAAAGAGCTTACCTCCAAGAATGAGCCTGTCATCAAAGCAGAGCCCACCTGGAGAAGGAAACGAAGGTGGGAGCCAGGTTCAGGAGCGTTGGGTTGACTACTGCTCGTAGGAGAGAGGAAAGAAGGTGCACTTATTTGCATTTATGGCCACATTCTGTGGCTCAGCCCTGACTGTCCCATTACTCAAGCTACTTCCTAAATCACAGTCCCACAAGGGGAAGCTTCACCTGTCCTGGCCATTGTCCAGGGCATTCACACAGCCCACCCTGCCCCTGTCATGGGAGTGTCATGACATCTCTCCCTGCCAAGTCCGCCACACCTCTGTACCTTCCTCCTCCCCTCCCTTTGGGCTCTTCCACCCTCCCCACCAGGCCCTTCCATGTTGCTTCAGCCATGCCACAGCACTGATCTCACTGGGAGGCTGCACCCACTCCCATGCCACAAAAATGACCGTCCCACCCACCACTGCCTTGTCGTGGGAGGAGCTATTTAAGATGGCACCTAACCTAAGGGAAGCTAAACAGCCGGTATTCTCACTCCCGGGATACAGGTGGAGAAACTGAGTCATGGAAACTCCTTGCCAAGGCCTTCTCAACTCCTCCGCGACTCAGCGAGGTCAAAATTCCACAAAGCCCAACGCACAAAGGCCAGTCACCCAGCCCTGGCTTTATCATGGACACGGGGCCTGGCTGGTGCCAGAGGTTTGGCCCAGGGCTCAGCAGTGACAGCTCTGGGATCCCCCGCCTCTCAGACCTATGACGTTGAATCCTGAACCCAGCATAGACTTGCAAATCAAGGAATCCTGGCTGAAGATAATCTGGATGGTTCTATATCCCTTTGAGAGAGAGAAAGTCACCAGCTGTGTGTGTCTGTCCGTTCTAATGCAGTCAGTACCCGTAAACTCCCTCTGTCGTGCTAGGTAAGGATCCCCCACGAAGCCAAAGCAAGTTGAGACCATAGTCCTAAGGGGTGTGCATCTCAGAAGCAGACGGTGGCTCAGGCCAGGCGCCTATCCTTTTGACTCTTAAGACATCTATTCTGTTGAACTCTATTTGGCTCCTAGCTGTGTTTGTAACATGTCCAGCAAAGCCTCACAAGTTCACTTTCTTCTCCTTCCAGGAGGGAAAAGGACTAAGTTTATAAAGCAGAGCCATGCTGGGAACTGCTCTAGTTTCACATACATTATAAATCTTCACAACAGTGAGCTACTGTCTCACCTACAGATGAGGACTTGAAGGCCCAGAAGGGAAGGGCTACCTCCGCGGGTCACTCTGCAGGCACTGGACGGGCCGGGACCTTTCCGGCTCGCCTCGCACTCCTCCAGCCCTCGACCCCAGCAGGCCCGTGCCCCCATCATCGCATTCGCTCGGCCTGGAGCACCCACATCTCCACTGGCCAGATCGCCCCCGTCTTTCAAGGCTCACGCCTCCTCCGCCCTGACCCTCGCAAACCCCGAGGTCAGACCCCCTTCAAGGGACCTCTGCCCTTTGAGAGGGGGACCCCTCTCCCGGGGTCCTCATGGTGACCTTGTACTCCAGTTCCACAGCCCACAAATCCGCACCACGCCCACGGGAGGTCCCGCTGTGGGTCACCACGGAGAAACCCCATCTCTCCGCCCCGCCAACTAGCGCCGGGGACACGACCCCGACGTCCCTCGCCTCCCACGCGGGGCAGCAGCCAAGGGAGGGAAGGGCGGCGGCTGTGAGAACAGCCGGCCCGGGAAGAAGCCACATGCCCAGAGACGTGGTGTGACCGGAAACCTCCTGGCGCGGCGACGCAAGGCGCCAAAGCTCTGCGGGCGGCTGCAAACCCGCCCCCGGCCTGGCGCCCCCGCGGGCCCTTCCCTCTCCCGCGCCCCCTCCTCCTGCAGCTCAGGCTCTGCCTCTTCCCCTACTGGACCAGAGAGGATTCACCAGGGACACTGTCCTCAGTGGGACGCGGCGACCCGGCCCTGACCAGGCCGCAGCAAGGCGCCCCCCATCCCCCATACTCCCCTCCCCATCCAGGCCCTCCGCCCTCTTCCCACCCCGCCCCTCCCCTCCCACCCCGTCACTCTCTCCCTCCTCTCCTCCTCCCCGCCCCACCCCACCCTCTCCCCTCTTCCTTCCGCCCCTCTCCCCCTCCTCTCCATCCTGTCCCTGTCCCCCTCTTCCCCCCCACCCCGCCCAGCCCCGCGACCAGTCCGCTCCCTTTCCGCCCCGCCCTCTCCGCGGCCCCGGCATCCCGCGCACCCGCGGCGCAGTCTCCCGGGCTCCGCGCGTCATCGCTCGTCCCACCTCCCGCCCAGCCAATCAGTCCTCTCCTCCGCACCAGGCCTGCCCTACCCGGGGAAACCTGTGGCCGCAGATGCAGAATCGAGTACGTCGTGTGCAATAACCTGGCGAGAGGGCAATTCCAAGTGCAGAAGAAACAGGAAGACGGCTGGGGGAAAGGGGGAGTCCAGACATCAATCATTTAGCCGCAATCCGCGAGCTGAAGTTAGTCCAGTGTGTTTAGCAGTCTGTCACTTACAAAATGCTTTCCTACAAATGTTCTCTCTCAGTCCTCAAAACAACCCGGTGAGGCGGATGTTATCTCCTTCTCACAACGGAGGAATGGACAGGGTGGCGAGACCAAGTAACTGCTCCAAGGTCCCAGGCTGGGCGGCGGAGCCCGGCTCGGTCAGACGCGGATCCAGGCCGGACTCCACGTCTTCCTGCTCCGAAACTGAGGGCCAGTGGAGGCACAGGTGATTCTCTCGCTCTGCCCCGTTTGAGATCCACTTGCCTGGAAGACTCTTCTAAGAGTTTCGATGGTACAGGCGTGGAAAAACAGGGATGAGAAGAGGAACTTAGGGCGGGACGTTTAGGTAGAGGAAGCCGAGAGAAAAGGGTAAACCCGAAGGGTTGCTTTGGTATTTCTCCCGTTACTAGCCTGGCTAGTGTAAGGGGCGGGGCGGGGCGGGGTTGCATTTTAAAGAGAAAGTCTTGGGAGCTCTTATGGAGAGACAGAAACCCTGGGCAAGCAAGCTTTACTCGCCAGTGCCCCCGAGTTAGCACAGCGCACGGCGCTCCTAGCATCCCAGCGCCGGGAGATCTTGCAGCGCCGCCCAAATCGCCGCGCTCAAACAGCGCCGCCAGGGCACACCCAAAACAAAAGGCCTGGGATCAAGGCCGAGTGAGGATGAATCGGCTTCTTCGGGAGCCTCCTGCACCTGCTAGCTCTGCCTTACAGTTTGCTGCAGCTTCTTCCTCCGCGTATCTGCGGAGCTCACGTCCTCTACTCCAAGGCCCCCTTCCCAGCGAGGCCTCCCGACCCCTTTCACTGTCTACTTTTTCTCCCTCGCATTTATCAGGGTGTAAGCAGTGCTTCTCCATCCGGAATGTGCCGATGCATCCACCTGGGAAACTTGTTACAACACAGATGCACATTCAGTTGATCCAAGGTGGGTTCCCACGTTTCTAACCCGTTCCCACCTTGTGCCTCTGGATCTGTGGGCGACCCTTTACATAGGAAGGACCTAAAACACTAGACCGTAGTTTTCATATTTATCTCGCTTTACGTTCTTTCACCCTGCACTCGAAGGTAAGTTCCAGGAGGGTAAAGATTTGGTTTATTTTGTTGCCTGCTCTACCTCAGCACCTGGAACCTGACACACAGTGGGCGAACATGGTTATTTATTGAAGGAAGGAAGGAGTGAATGAAATATAAGCCAAAAGATGATAAATCCAATGTCATACGAAGTGGAATTCAAGGTGAAAACTGTAAAAGGAACAAAGGAAATGGGGAAAAAATACATTTTTTTGTATTTATTTTAAAAATGGGAGGAAATAACAGTCACAGACCCTTAGGTCTTGAGTAGTATGATATACTTATTTAAAGTAAAAACCATCCAAAGAACAAGGAAAATCGCAAATATCACGTTGAGTTTAGAAACTTTAACTCGTTCTGTCTTGGTCACATCTCATAGGAAAATGGTGACATAGAAGAACTGAAAAAAACATTAACTTGATATCAGAGCTCTGTATTTACTTTTTTTTTTTTTTTTTTTTTGCGGTACGCGGGCCTCTCACTGCTGTGGCCTCTCCCCTTGCGGAGCACAGGCTCCGGACGCGCAGGCTCAGCGGCCATGGCTCACGGGCCCAGACGCTCCGCGGCATGTGGGATCTTCCCGGACCGGGGCACGAACCCGCGTCCCCTGCATCGGCAGGCGGACTCTCAACCACTGCGCCACCAGGGAAGCCCTGTATTTACTTTTTTATTGTGGCAAAATATACATAACATTAAATTTAGCATTTTAGCCATTTTTATATGTATGGTTCGATGACATTATGTATGTTCACATTGCTATGCAACCATCACGACGATCCAGCCACAGAAATTTTTCATCTTCTCCAACTGCAACTCTGTACCCACTAAACTGTAACTCCCATTTCCTCCTTCCCCCCAGCCCCAGGCAACCCATAACCTAATTTCTGCCTCTGAATTTGATTACTCTACCTACCTCACTTAAGTGGAATCTACAATATTTGTCCTTCTGTGTCTGGCTTATTTCACTTAGCATAATGTTCTCAAGGCTCATCCGTGTTGTAGCACATGTCAGAATGTCCTTCCTAGTTAAAATTGAATAATATTCCATTCTATGTATATATCACATTTTGTTTATCTATTCATTTGTGGATGGACACTTGGGTTGTTTCCACCTTTTGGCTACTATGATAATGATGTTATGAACATGGGTGTACAAATATCTGTTCAAGTCCCTGCTTTCAGTTCCTCTAGGTATATACCCAGAAGTGGAATTGCTGAGTCATATGGACCATTCCTTGTTTAATTTTTTGAGGAACCACCATACTGTTTCCCACAGCAGCTGTATCATTTCCCACATGCAATGCACAAGGATTCCAATTCATCTATATCCTTGTCTAAACTTGTTATTTTCTTTCTTTCTTTCTTTTTATAATAGCCATACTTTTGGGTGTGAAGTGGTGTCTCATTGTGGTTTTGATTTGCATTTTCCTAATGATTAGTGATGATGAGCATTTTTTCACATGCTTATTGGCCATTTGTATATCTTCTGTGGAGAAATGTCTATTCAAGTCCTTTGCCCATTTTTTCTTTCATCTTTATTGCAGTATAATTGCTTTACAATGGTGTGTTAGTTTCTGCTTTATAACAAAGTGAATCAGTTATACATATACATGTGTTCCCATATCTCTTCCCTCTTGCGTCTCCCTCCCTCCCACCCTCCCTATCCCACCCCTCTAGGTGGTCACAAAGCACTGAGCTGATCTCCCTGTGCTATGCGGCTGCTTCCCACTAGCTATCTATTTTACGCTTGGTAGTGTATATATGTCCATGCCACTCTCTCACTTTGTCACGGCTTCCCCTTCCCCATCCCCATATCCTCAAGTCCATTCTCTAGTAGGTCTGGGTCTTTATTCCTGTCTTACCCCTAGGTTCTTCATGACATTTTTTTTTCTTAGATTCCATATATATGTGTTAGCATACAGTATTTGTCTTTCTCTTTCTGACTTACTTCACTCTGTATGACAGACTCTAGGTCCATTCACCTCACTACAAATAACTCAATTTCGTTTCTTTTTATGGCTGAGTAATATTCCATTGTATATATGTGCCACATCTTCTTTATCCATTCATCTGTTGATGGACACTTAGGTTGTTTCCATCTCCTGGCTATTGTAAATAGAGCTGCGAGGAACATTTTGGTACGTGACTATTTCTGAATTATGGTTTTCTCAGGGTATATGCCCAGTAGTGGCATTGCTGGGTCATATGGTAGTTCTATTTGTAGTTTTTAAAGGAACCTCCATGCTGTTCTCCACGGTGGCTGTATCTATTTACATTCCCACCAGCAGTGCAAGAGGGTTCCCTTTTCTCCACACCCTCTCCAGCATTTATTGTTTCTAGATTTTTTGATGATGGTTTGCCCATTTTTGAATTGTATTGTTTGTTTTTTTGTTGTTGAGTTGTAGGAGTCTGTTACATGTTCTAGATATTAATTCCTTATCAGATATATGATTTGCAAATATTTTCTCCCATTTTGTAGGTTGCCTTTTCATTTTGTTGATACTGTCCTTTGAGGCACAAAAGTGTGTAATGTTGATGAGGTCTGATTTATCTAATTTTCCTTCTGTTATCTGTGCTTTTGGTGTCATACTCAAGAAATATTGGCAAATTCCATGTCATGAAGCTCTTTCCCTATGTTTTCTTCTCAAGAGTTTTACAGTTCATTATTTTTAGGCTCTAATCTAAAATTTTTTTGTACCCACATTTTTATTGAAGTATAGTTGATTTACACTGTTTCAGGTGTATAGCAAAGTGATTCAGTTATAGATACATATATATTTATTCTTTTTCAGATTCTTTTCCATTATAAGTTATTACAACATACTGAATACTATTCCCTGTCCTGTACAGTAGGTCCTTGTTGTTTATCTATTTTATATTTAGTAATGTGTGTCTGTTAATCCCAAATTCCAAATTTATCCCTCCCCCCTTCCCCTTTGGTACCATAAGTTTGTTTTCTATGTCGAGTTTAATAGTTTTAAGAGCTTTCTATTTACTTTTACAGAGAATATATATTCTTTTTAAAAAGCTTTATGCATTTCAAAAGTAGAAATTGTACAGGTCACAATATCTAACAGCAATGCAATAAAAACTAGTAGTTAATACACTAGTAATTGTATATTTGAAAGTTGCTCAGAGACTAGATCTTAAAAGTTCTCATCACAAGAAAAGATTTGTAACTATGTGAGGTGAAGAATGTCAGCTCAAGGTACTGCAGTAATCATTTCACAATATATACATATATCAAATCACGTTTTACACCTAAAACTAGTACGATGTTATATGTCAATTATATCTCAATTAAAAAAATGAAAACGAACAAACAAAAAGAAAACAAAAAGCCTTGGAAGCTGATGCAAGTAATCGAGACTTGATTCTCTATGAGAGTTGCCTTACCTGCCTCTGTGTTTCCTGTGGAGTTCAACGTATGCCCTCACACGGCTGATGTCAATTAACGCAGGTCAAATAAACAAGTTTCTCCTAAACACACACGAACACACTCACACAAATAACCTTCCCGCCCACCCCCATCCCACCATCCAGACACACAAACAAAGAAAAGCTAGTCGGGCTTCCCTGGTGGCGCGGTGGTTGGGCGTCCGCCTGCCGATGCAGGGGACGCGGGTTCGTGCCCCGGTCCGGGAAGATCCCACGTGCCGCGGAGCGGCTGGGCCCGTGAGCCATGGCCGCTGAGCCTGCGCGTCTGGAGCCTGTGCTCCGCAACGGGAGGGGCCGCAACGGTGAGAGGCCCGCGTACCGCAAAGAAAAAAACAAACAAAAACAACTAGTCATTAGTCAGGAAAGGTTAACCCTTTGGAAATCGTAAGAGCCCTCTCTTTAACTCCTGGGTCAAAGAGAAACTCAAGCTGCAATGATAGATTCTTTAGAAAATAACACTGAGAACATTTACATTTGAAAAAGAAACTTAAGGGAATCAAAAGGAAGAAATTAAGCACGAGAAGGCAAAAATTAATATTTCAAAAATTAAAAAGCAGTGAACCAATGAAAAAATAATGTTTTTTTGTTTCTAATTAAGAAAAATGCCTATAGGAGATGGCCAGGAACAGGGGACAAATGCAGGTGATGCCCAGGAGAAGACAGAAAAGGAGCCGTAGTCATATTCACCTCTTTCCCACCGCCTGTGTGGCCTGAGGCCACCCCCTCGGAGTTCAAGTCTGACAGTCCTTTCACACCCTAGGTCTGTGCACATGGACCTGTTACTCAACCTCTCTCTGAACTTCAGTGTGTTCACCTGAATAGTAGAGATATATTACAGGACTAAATACAGGGCTTGGCACGGGAGGATGCATATTATTATTATTATTATTTTGTGAACAATGATATTGTTCATGAGAATATTCATATTTTGTTTCACACTATGGGAGGTCCTAAAGAGGAGAACGTGAGTGGTATCAACCTTAAAAAAAAAAAAATTGACAAATTAGAGAAAGCAAAATGAAGTTCATTCGGGAAGAACGGGGGAATTGCCATGAAGAACAAGGAAGCTATGGTGACCCACGGGCAAGTCAAAAAAGACAAAGGGAAGGTCAGCTTTCATTAAGGTTACAAGAGGAAACTGGGGAGGGTTGTTTTAAGCAAAAGTTTATCGGAGGAGAACGAGAGTTCAAGGCTGTTGGCAGTTTCTCACCAGCTGCCAGTGGTGGCTGGAGCGCTGTTGCTGGAGCAGGGAGGGCTCTTCCTTCTTATTCTTAAAAACAGGAGATAAAATCCCCGGATGGAAAATGCCCTCCCTTGTCAGAATAATTCTCATGTTTTGTTCTCCCTGCTGGTGACCTAGGCTGAGTGTGTGAGAGCTCCCCTTTCAGAGCTGCCCGATTCCATTTTAAGGAGGTCTCCTTTATTTATATTCATGGTGGAAAAGCGAGTGCCAAGTGGCAGGGCGAGGGGAGGAGGGCTGCTTCACCTGGGACAAAAGGAAGACAGGCATCTAGGGGGGCCGCGGGTCATCCCGGTCCAGGAGGCCCGTGCTGGTCAAGGCACGGCAAGGCTTCCCTTCCTCCATCGCCCCACAGGCGAACGAGGGTGAAAATGAACATCTCGCCACCGTCCATACCTGGAGGGGCCTGGACTAGTTGTCCCTGAGGCTTTTCCTAGTTCTGTTGGCCTATGGTCAGGGAACTCTTAGGCTGAGCAGCATAGAAGAAAAGCCAGCTGGAGGGAAGCAGGGCAGTTTTCCAGCTCAGATGCTGAGCGCGATGGCGGTGTTGGTAGCAGGATGTGTATGGAGCCGTGACCCAGGTATGGACCTCAACATGTTTTTAGCTTCTTGCTTGCTTGTGCTGAGAGAGGTAGGAGCTGGCCAGTTGGGAGCAGACTCGGTTCCCCGCACCCCCAGGAGGCCTGTGAAGGGAGAACGTGATGGGTGGTGGGCAGTCCCAAAGGACATGATGCAAGGAACAGTGGCCAGCCACCTCCAGTGTCATGGCCCTAGAGGCACTGACAGCAGACAGCCTCTAGGTACTGAGCTCAGCTCATTCATTAGGCAACTTCTCCCACTGGCTCTTATCTCTTGCAGGCAGGTGAGGAAACGGGGACAAATGCCAGATTCCTGATCAGATTTAAGGCTGGACAGAGATGCGTCCATCAGAGCCAGATGAACAGAAGTCAACAGATGCAATGTCTATCCATCATGTGGGTTGCCCACAAAATCAAGATGGCCAGGAAGCAGCTGGTATTTACACCTGGGGCTCTCCCCTTGCCCTCACTTGGGCAGAGGCAGAGAAAGAACGTTGCCCAGCAGCACTTTGGGGAGTTCCCCCTCACACACACATTCCATGATAATCCGCTTCAGTTGTTATGATTTGGGCAAGTTGCCTCCAAGGATAACTCCTGTGGAAAGATGGCCATGGATTTAGGGGGGAGACCTTTTTTCCGAGATTACCTTTGTAAATCTGGATGTGGTCAGGGTGGGTAGAGGGTAATCTTAGCCACCCACAGGAGAGATCCTTCTAGACAATGAAGCAGCACTGAGGACGGCAGAGCCATGCCCTTGTTCTTCAAATTACGCAAGTAGGTCAAGTCCCTTTCTTCCCCTTAAGCCAGAGGTTGTCTGAAACTTTCAACTGGAGTATGCATAACACACCTGTGTGGATTGAAGTGTGTCTCCCAGAAAGACGTGTCCAAGTCCCAACCTCTGGTACCTGTGAGTGTGACCTTAGTTGGAGTTAGGGTCTTTGCAGATATGATCAGGCTAAGGTGAGGCCCCATTAGATTAGGCTGAGGACGAAGACACACACAGGAGGTAACACCGTGTAGTGATGGAGGTAGAGATTGGAGTGATGCATCCACAAGCCAAGGCATGCCAGGAGCCACCAGAAGCTCGGAGAGAGGTGTGGAAATTCCCTCAGATTCTCTCTCAGAAACTCCAGAAGAAGGCAACCCCACTGACACCTGAATTTTGACCTTCTAGTTTCCAGAACCCTGGGAGAATAAATTTCTGTTGTTTCGAGCCATCCGGTTGGTGGTGCTCTGTTACAGCAGCCCTAGGAACCTAATACAACCCCTCGCTGATGGTGTTGGCCATGGAATCACCTACCCCTTCCTTCTGAGAAACACATGCAGGAGACTTTTAGGAAGCGCTCTCGGTGGTACCCCCTATTTGACCTAAAGATGCAGTTTGAGGAGTTGTTTGCATCAGATCCCTGGCTTTTTGGCTCTCCTGCTCCACTCTCCCTCCAGCACCTATGCTGAAAGACATCTTAGTGTAGGCCCTCACCATATCTTGCCTAACTTGCTAAAAATTGTCTGCCGTCTTTTTCTCTCTTGGTTCATATTCCATACTGCCACTTTCTCCCCAAACCAACCGATTCCATCTTTCCTCTTGTTAAAACTCTCCATTGGTTACCCAGGCCCTACAGAAAGCTCTATCACATGTGATCGGAGAATCTGAAGAATCTCATGTCAACTTATCTCTGTCCTGTCTATTCTCATTCCCTTGCCATGTGCCCCATCCCTTTGTTTTTTTAATGAAATGACCTGCATGTATTTGTTTGTGTTTTTTTTTTTTTTGTCTGTTTGTTTGTTTTTTGGCCACACCATTCGTTATGTGAGATCTTAGTTCCCCGACCAGGGATCGAACCCATACCTCCTGCATTGGAAACACAGAGTCTTAACCACTGGACCGCCAGGGAAGTCCCTGTGCCCCATACTTTGATGACACTAAGCGTGCACTAAGGGACTCTCTCCAGGGTTGTCACTCAGCAAATAGTATCTCTGGGAGAGGGGGGAGGTGGGTGGGGCAGACAGCGTAAGGAGCCGGTCTGAGAACGCAGCACAGGCAGCGGGCTGTTGGGAAAAGAGCCCATCCTCAAGTCAGGAGACCTGAGTCCCAGCCCTGATTGTGTCACGCATTCGACGCACACCACAAGCATGGCACCCACAAGGTCTGTCCACCTGCAGACCAGATGTTTTCCAACTTCCCTTCCTGCTGCCCCACTCTGATTTTTCACATCTGCAGACTGAACACCAGGCCAGGTGCACGGTGAGTTAGGAACAGAGCAAATGGCCACTGGGAGTTGGTTCCCTAGCAGCCGCCACCTCCCCTGTCTTGCCAGCCCCTCCACGCTTCTGCCCGTGCTGATTTGGTAACCGCTGTGTGATGCACAGGAGGAAGCGGAGGAGGAGGGAAGTTATGGGGAAATGGTGCTGGATGCTGAGCAATGAAACCACATGTGTGAAGCGGAAGCTGTGATGCCCAAGCCAGAACCACCGCCGGCCAGAGCCCCCAGGGTCTGGAGAATGACCCTTCGCTGACACGGAGGGGAGTCCCCCAAGGCCACGAACTGAGTGATACTGTGTACACAGCTGACCCCTTGTCTCAAGATGAGTCAGCTCTGCAGTGTGGTTCATATTCTAGAACCTTCACCCTGTGGATTAAGCCAAACCTACACTTGACTTGAGACTGCATCCTGGCTGGGTCTCAGCCTTTCCCCCTCTCCATCCCGCTTCCCACTCTCCTTTAGGTTTTTTTCTGGAGAGCACTCTCTTAATAAATCACTTTCCCAAAAATCTCTCTCTCAGGTCCTGCTTCTGGGGACTTGATCTAAAACAGTGTGCTTTTAATAAATAAAAGTAAAATACCATTGATGGGTAAAACATGAATGGGGGCAAAACATATACGGGAATGTGGGAAGGAAACTCCAGATTCATTTTAAAAAGGGAAAAAGAAAAGGCTACCTGAGTCTGTTTGTAGGGGAAGGAAGCAGAGCTTCCTGTTTGTCCCTGGAGGGCAGTAAACTGAGTAGTTTCCCTGGTATTGAAATCCTACTTCGCCTGATTCATTTCCTACATCACAGGGCAGCTGACAGCTTTCAGAATAAGCATCCGTCCCATGTTCTTGAAAAGCAGCAGTGTTGACTCTGCAAGAAAGCATATCCTCTTTTGAAGGTACAGTAAAGGGGCCAGAAACTCCTTTTAATGAAACTCCAATAGCAAATGCGCTCCTTTTCCTTTTAGAGAACAGACGGATCTGTGGAATCCAATTCAAAAAGTTCATAGAGGCCCAAACTGGCCAAACTCACACAGCCCACAGTGGCCACTCAAGTTCCAACTGAGCTCATGCCTCATAAAAAGTTTTCCTGGACCCATGCACTGCTCTCAGGCAGATCAGCCAGATCTTCTAGCACGGTGGCTAAGGGCACAAGGTCTGGAACCAGAATGCATGTGTTTGATTCCTGGCTCTGCCCCTTAGTGGCCCGACCTTAGCATCCCCATCGGTCAAATTCAGGGCTCATGTGTTATTAAATGCATTAATACAGGAGATGAACAGAAAACGGTGAGGTTCAGTATGTGTTAACTTGTTATTAGCATAATAAGCCACGGCTCATTCATTTGAGGGCACCTGGGTCTCCACCGCTAAGTAGCTCTACATATCCGAGCAAAACACTTCAGCGCTTCGAGCTCTTAAACACCAGGTTCTATAGGATGCCCCCTGAAGTCCTTTCTGGACCTAAAATGGAGCTCAGCCTGGTTCCCTTTCCAGGTCCTGAACTGTGTTTGTAAACGAGGACATTGTTCCCGCTGATTCATGTGAGATTCGTGATGGATGACTTTGTGCGTCAACTTGATTGGGCCACAGGGTGCCCGGATAGTTGGTTAAACGTGACTCTGAGTGTGTCTGTGATGATCTGATAAACACCACCACTGGGATCCTTACAAGAGGATCTGAGAGCCAGGAGGAGGGGTACCACACAGACCCAGCAGGCCTTGGAGCTGGAGTGTGCCTCCCAGGCTCCGCCCTCTCCAGGCCAGCTGGGATGTGTCCCCTGACGTCCAGGGAGACCTGGATGACCCAGCTTCCCTGGACCATACAATAAACAAGTGGCTGGGGCACTTCTAAGTGTTGTCAGCTGTGTCCTGGCTCAAGTTTTGTCAACAAAACGGATGGATTTATAACTAAGGTTAAAAACTGCTGAGATCTAGTTAAACAATTCTGTCCATTTTCCCGAGAAAAATGAGAGACACTTCAGCAGTATTTACGGTGGCAATTGGCGGGTCACATACGGGTCATGCAGGAAATGTGCCCAGAGGGTGGACTCTTGAGAAAAGCTGTCCATAAAATGATCATCTTTTTAAGGTGAATGTATTCACAAAGTTACAGTAACTGCCATTCATTGGACCCTGCTCCATGGTCTTTATGTGTATCAGCTCAGCTAGGCCTCCCAGTAAACCTACCAGGCACATATTATTATCCCCCTTCCTTGTTTTTCCATTGCAGTAAAGTAGACATAACAAATTTTACCATTTTAACCATTTTTAAATGTACATTTTAAAGTGTACACATAACCATTTTTGAGTGTACCCATGTGGCATGACGTTCACATTCTATACACATTCTGTTCCCGTTAAACAACAAATCCCCTTTTCTCCTGCCCGCAGCCCCCGGCAACCACCATCTACTTTCTGTCTCCATGAGTCTGACTACTCTAGGCCCTCATATCAGTGGAATCATACGGTATTTGTCCTTTCGTGGCTGGTTTATCCCACTTAACATAATGTCTAGAAGGTTCATCCATGTTGTACCCCATGTCAGAATTTCCTTTCCTTTCAAGGCTGAACGATATTTTGTTATATGTATATATCACATTTTTTAATTCATTCATCTTTTGATGAATGCTTGGGTTGCTTCTGCCTTTCGGCTATAGGGAATAATGCCGCTGTGAACATGAATGTACAAATATCTCTTTGAGTCCATTCTTGCAGTTCTTTAGGACATATAACCAGAAGTGGAATCGATTGATATTATTCCCTTTTAAAGAAGAATACATCGGGTGCAGAAAGATTACTTATCTTGCCTACGTCTACGCAGCTAAGTGTCAGAACAAGGATTCTCCCCAAGCAGACTAACTCCAGTATCCAAGCTCTTGGCCGCCACACTGCACTGCCTCTCACCCGTGACTCTTACGTTCTGATACAACCACACCTAGAAGGTTACAAAGCCTGGCTATACTGACCAGAGGAAGGATGCCTAGGGCCTCCCATGCCCCCCGTATTCTCTGACTCCACACCCCTCCTACCATAGGCTTCCAGAACCCCAGACTGACATGACAAAATCTCCTCCAGAGGTTGGACGTTCCAGGTTCTTCTCTACCCGTATCTGAGTGTAAGTTAAACTACTTGCTTTGACTGGTTCTTGTATGAGCGCTTACCGGGCAGTCCCTCAAACAGGACAGATGTGTGTTGGTGACAGTGGTCCATCTCTTTGGCTGTTGGCTAAGTTTTGGAACATCTGAGGGTCCAAACCCGGGCCCCCTTCTCTTCTTAAGCCACGGTCTCTAGGGAGGGCACCTCATCCAGAGCAACAGCTGTACGTACCATCTACCATAGATGACTCCCAGATTTACATCTCCAGACCTGTATTTTCAACCACTTGTTGACTTCTCCACTGGATGTCCAATGGGCATTTCAAGTTCCAAACAGTCCAAAAAGAACTTCTCCACCCCAATGTTCATAGTATCATTGTGTACAGTTGCCAAGGTATGGAAGCAACATAAGTGTCCATCAGATGAACGGATAAATAAGATGTGAGATATACACACACACACACACACACACACACACACACACACACACACACACACA